ATGATCATGGAATTTTTTTCTCTCATTTTTTTTTAAAAAATTTTTTTTTTTTTTTTTTTTTTTGTTAACAAAATTTCCTTTCACCTGGATTTTCATTCATTCAGTTTGTTTCGATTTCAAATCGATCTGAATAAGGTGAATTTGATTTTTTTTTCTGTCTCGTTCTTTCGACACAATCAAAATCCCGTTTGAATCATTTTTAATATCTGATCAAACCAATTCTTTTCCTTCTTTTTTTTTGCTATTCAATACAATGGTGTTGAATTGGCTTACCATTTTATAGTTGGCAGTGATGATAATTTTATGATAATTTCATATTTTTTTTCCACAATATCTTAAGAAAAATAGTAGCAATGAAAAAGCGAAAATGAAAGAATTTCAAAAGAATATTTTCATAGTCGCAGGTGTTCGATTTGATGATCATATTACAAAGAATTCGATTCTATTTCTATCCATTCTGTATGTTTTTATTAAAATGGCCGAGACATCATCACACACACACACACACAATAAAATCCATTTATTATGAATGATGATGATAGTCGGGTGATTATGAGAGAATTCCGTGTTGATTAAAAATAATTCGCAATAACTTTTCTAATCTAATATTATCTTTCAAAACAAAACAAAACAAAAATTACCTAGTAATATGCAGAATATTTATTCCAAAATTTATTTTGGCCATTATCATTATCCAAGAAAAGAAATGTTGTTGTTTTTCTGGTTTTGAAACCAGATTCTATAGAATCATCATCATTATTGTTTTAGTTTTAATTTCATTTATTTCAATTTTATGATTTTTGTTGTTTTTTTCCTACCTACCATACACAGGAGAATCAATGTATGCGTATCAAAATTCTGGGCGATTGTTATTATTGTGTATCCGGTTTGCCTGTATCACGTCCAAATCATGCTATCAATTGTGTACAAATGGGCCTAAGAATGATCAAAGCAATCAAGTAAGTGTTGAATTATTATTATTATTATTAAATCAAATATTGATGGCAAAACAAAACGAAAAAAAAATTGATGATTATCCATCATTGTGTATGTGACATGAATTTTGTTTTGTTTGATTCATTTTTTTTCCAATAATTTAATTTTATCTTATTGATGATAATTGATTGATTGTGTTGTATTGATTTTCCAATCCCAAATAAAAATAGAATGGTTCGTGATGCTACCGGTGTTAATGTTGATATGCGTATAGGTGTTCATAGTGGTAATGTATTATGTGGTGTTATTGGACTACGTAAATGGCAATATGATGTATGGTCGGATGATGTAACACTTGCCAATCATATGGAATCTGGTGGTGTACCCGGGTATGTTGTTGTTTTTTTTATAGCCATTTTTATACTTTATTTAATTGAAATTTAAATTCTATATTCTTTGTCTTGTTTGTTTCGTGTTTTGTAGACGTGTACATATTACGGAAGATACATTAGATCGATTGGATAATCGTTTTGAAGTTGAACCTGGTAATGGACATTTAAGAGATTCATATCTAGCACAACATGCAATCAAAACCTATCTTATTATTGATCCAACGGTAAGTACTTGGTTTTTTTCCAGGCAATTTTATTATTATTCAATCAATAAATTGATTTTTATTACGTTTTTAGAAATCTAAACAAGATATATTAGACGCTGATGATGGTTCATATTCATCAACACCATCATCTAGACGACGATCATCATTACAAGTAGTTGGATCAATCATTCATAATTTGAATGGTAAAAATGATAATAATCCATCATTGCCAACCAATTCATCATTGACAAATGTATCAAAAGCACAACGTAAAATGGGTTCAGGTGTTGGTAGTAAACGAAATTTTTGTAAATGGACTGAATGTGGTTCATCCGGATGGGCGGTTGATAAACCATTTTCAAATATATCTGAATCTGTTATAGCTAAAAATGTTACACAAACGGTAAATTTATTTAAATATAAATAAAGTTAACAAAAAAATTAATTTACTAACCTTGAATGAAATTTTTAATTTTGATTGACAATTTTCTTTTAAAAATAAATAAATAGAGTATTGCATTAATTGAAGCCGTTCTAACACCTACACCACAATCATTGATGGATACATTGCGTTCATGGTTTTCCTGTTGTTTACCTGCATCCGAACTACAACATTATCATCCACGTAAAGCGGAAATCAATTCCATTAGTCTTCATTTCAAAGATAGTTCACTAGAAAATCCATATGAAAGACATGCATTTTTGGGAAATTTTCCAACAAATTCATTAAATATAACCATATTGATGTCTGTATTGGCCATTATTCAATGTATTTTACTTCCAATGTATGTTTTGCGTGACACATTATAAATTGGCGAAAAAAAAAATTAATTGAATGATTCTTTCTTTCTTTTTTTTTGTTGTTGTTGTTAAATTTTCAGAAATATCTTCACACTTGCATTGATTATATCGATGATGATTATTGCATTAACATTTACTATATCAATACTAATACAATCGATTCGTAATCGTCGTGTACCATTAACATTATTACCAACACGATTATCAACAACATTTGATCAATATAATAATAATGGTTTGAATAAAACAAATAGCTGTGAAGATTTAGAAAATGGTTCGAATATTGTTAATACATCAATTACAACACATATTACTAATCAACAAAAACATATGAAAATATTTGAATGGTATCAACGATTAGGTATAATAATTGGTGAAAAATTTGATTTAATACAAGTATCAATTAGAAATTATACAGAACATTTTCTTAGCTGTCATCAACAAAGTATAATGTTATTTTCATTAAGTATTTGTTCAGCATTAACCGTTATAATGATTACTATTGAACATTGTCTTACATTTATACCATCTATTGTTAATTGTGATGATGTACCGATACCAATCATTCAAACTGATCCAACAATGACAACAACATTAAGTGAACATCAAAAATGTCAACTTGAATTACGACATTATTTTCGTGTTTCATCTGTTATTGTATTGATTCTTATATCAACATCATTATCACATCTTAAACATACATATCGTATACTTGTACAGATATTTTATTTCGGTATATTGGCCATTTTGAATATTTTAGCTGTTGGAAATTCTGGAACAAATGCTCCATCTATGATTCAATCAACAAATATTACTATGGATAATAATATTATCGATGTTAATGATGAAAGTACACCGACCGGTGTTTATGGTGCTACCATATTATTTGCCCTATTTTTTTCATTAATGCTTTATGTTCGTGATCGTCATATTGAATTTTCATCTCGTTTACATCAATTATGGAAAGCTAAATTACAAGTAGAACAAGAAGATGTTGAAACTATTGGCGGTATAAATAAAATTTTATTGGAAAATATTCTACCACAACATGTTGCACAACATTTTCTATTGAATAATTATGGTCCAAATAGAACATTATATCATGAACGTTATAATTCGGTTGCTGTAATGTTTGCATCCATACCGAATTATCATGAATTTTATGATGAAAATGATGTCAACAAACAAGGATTAGAATGTTTACGTTTATTGAATGAAATAATCTGTGATTTTGATAAATTATTATTGAAACCAAAATTTAGCTGTATTGAAAAGATAAAAACTATTGGCAGTACTTATATGGCAGCTGCCGGTTTACAACCTGGTCGTGAAAGTTTTGAAGCCGGTGCTAAAGAAGGTAGTTTTAAATTACATCGTGAAGAACATAATGTTATTTCGTTGGTTGAATTTTCCATTGCATTGAATAATGTTTTGCAACAGATTAATCGTGAATCATTTCAACGATTTCGACTTCGTGTTGGAAGTATGTTGCTTATTTATTTTATTTTATTTTTGTTTTATTTTTGCTAATTTATTGTTATTGTTATTATTATATAGTCAATCATGGACCAGTAATTGCCGGTGTTGTTGGTGCACATAAACCACAATATGATATATGGGGTAATACGGTTAATGTTGCATCACGTATGGATTCACATGGTATGATGGGTAAAATACAGATACCAGTAGCAACAGCAAAATTATTAATGGAACATGGTTATGATTGTGAATGTCGTGGACGTATACACGTTAAAGGAAAAGGTGAATTAGAAACATATTTTATTAAATCACCGGCATTAAAAGATGAATTATGATTAACAATCCTGAAAAAATATATTGAAACATTCGAAAATTGATTTTGAATATTATCCAAGTAAACAATAAAGAATTCTAATAGCCAAAGGAAAAATAATGTTCATCACAATTAACAACATACATTATGTAATTTTTTTTTCATTGTAAAATGCCACATCCAAACAAACAAGATTCTTTCAACAATCACAGAAAATTGAATCGGAAATTTGATTTGTATTTTTGTTCCATTCATATTCAAAAAAAAAAAAAAAAATTTTTTGATTTGATTCATTCGAATTCATTTTTTGGCCAGAATTTTGGTTTGTTTCCTTTTTTTTTTTTGAAATTT